GCTGGACTCTCTCCAGTAGCTCTTCATCTTTCTTGAACTGGGGAGCCCAGAACTGGACAGAGTACTCCAAATGAGGCCTCACCAGGGCAGTGTAGAGGGGAAGGAGAACCTCCCTCGTCCTACTGGCCACACTCTTCTTGATGCACCCAAAGGATCCCATTGGCTTTCTTGGCAGCCAGGGCACACTGCTGGCTCATGGTTAACCTGTTGTCCATCAGGACACCCAGGTCCCTCTCCGCAGAGCTGCTCTCCAGCAGGTCCACCCCAAGCCTGTACTGGTGCATGGGGTTGTTCCTCCCCAGGTGCAGAACGCTGCATTTGCCTTTGTTGAACCTCATCAGGTTCCTCTCTGCCCAACTTTCCAGCCTATCCAGGTCACGCTGAATGGCAGCGTCTTGTCCTACTCAAGGAACTACTGCATTACTGGGCGCATAACTAGGTCCTTTCTGCTAATCTTACACTCCTGGCAGCCACCACTGTTACAGATAGGTGTTGAGAAAACAACAGCATTCTTGTTCATTTTTGTAAGAGGGATATCTAGCAGTTCCATTTCTATTTGGAAAGAATAGTCTCACGGTGAGTAAACAAACATGATGATCCAATGTAGGGAAGCAAAATTATGCCAATTTATTTACATCTTGAAGCAGTCTGTCTCAGGCTCTGCAGTGACTCTGAAACCCTCAGTAAAGGGTTTTTCTTTAAAACATTCCTAGACCAGAGAGATAATCCCAAAGTATAACACATGGCTTAATAAACACTATGACATCAGATGACCTTGGTTTGAGTTGATGATTTATCATATGACAACAGAACTAAACCCACAGGTATGGTGCAATGCAAAGGAGAACTCACCACTGCGAACACGATGCTGGCAAGTGCGCTCAGACAGAAACAAATCTTGGTGGACTCTATAAAATTCCTTGTCCGGTCGACATACAGGCCCAGCAGGAAAGCACCCAACAAACCACACACTGTGAAAAGTGCACCATTCAGGCCAGCGAATTCCTGGAGGGCAGAAGAACAACAAGATGAGCAACTAGAGAAGTTATGAAAGAGATTTTAAAGTCACTGGCCCATCTGTCTGCTGCTACTGTGTCACCGACTGAGGTAGCATAAGTTTTTTGGCCCATTGCAATAGCTCAGGCCTCCATAGGGCTCTGAGTAACAAATAACGGGGCCCAGGTGCTGCTACAAGTGTGCGGGGACAGCACGATTGCAGGACTCCCAAGGTCTCAACGGACAACAAGTCTCCGCACACCTGGCAAGGGAGGCTGGGAGCACAGCAGCGGCAGTTCCCTGGCACTAAATGCTCCAGGCCAGGCATGAGACTGTTCTTAGCTCCTCCAGGGGCAATCAGGTGCCTCGTCCAAAATGGTGGTAACAGATCCAACTGCCTTGAGGTCAGGTCCTGTTTATAATCATGCTCCTGGCCCTTTTCTTACCAGGGACCAGGGACCTGCATGGGTGGAATGTGTTTCACAAAGCTGGCAGCCCCAAAGCCTATTACATGAGACACAGCATCACCTGGCTGTAGCAAGGAGGTCTAATTAGAGAGGCAGTGATCAGTATTTAGGACAGGGTACATGCTCTATGACTATCTTTCCTTGTTCCACTCCTTCAGGTCTGTAAGAATTCAAATGCAGACACCAGTCCTGAAAGCAGGGAAGCTTTAACAAGTTTGGGTAACATTTCTGGGAGCCTCAGGGGCAGACTGGAAGGAAAGGGTATCTGGAAAAGCTTCTGTGGGCTAAAGGGCCATGGCAAGCCAGTCACACACAGACAAAAGCATCATGCAAGGCTGCAGAGTTTAAAAGGTTTCCAGTTAAAAGCCAATGGACTGCACAAATGTGGCCTGGCTATGGAGCACTGAGCCAGGTACCGGATCTGGGAGTCGACAGGGAGTGGACAGAGACCATGCACGTTGATGTGCATACACAACAGCTGGAGAGGTGTTCTAAGAGGAGCTCCACGGGGATACAAGAAGCAGGACTGAGAGGAAAGGCAGGAACTGGGGCAGCCCCTTGCTACTGCTGGTTTCAGCTGTGCACACGCTGTGCTCAACTGTAAAAGTGGCACCTGGCCAGGGTCATGGGGAGGATGGAGAAACATCCATCACAGTACCTGTGACTTCCTCTGCTGCCCTGGCTTCATGTAAGACTGTGCAAAGAGGAAAAGGTGCTTGCATCAGCCTGCCTTCTTCTTCACTGTAGGGCCTGCCTGGGCCCTGTCCTGCTCTGGGGAAGGTGTCAGAAGGCTGCATAGACATCAGCGCTCTGGAGTGGCTTAGAAAAAACACAATATTCTTTTTCCCTAAAAAGTGTTTGAGGAGTAAAGGTTTTTCACTTGCAAAGGGGAATGTGGCCATGGGCAGTAATGAAAATGCAGATAATCCATTATACTGAGAGATTGACTGTGCTCTGGATTAATGTACTGCTTAATCTATATTAGATAACGTGAGCAAATGAAATATGAGACAGTTCAGCACAATCAACTGTCTTCGTTTTGTTCTGAGTCCTTTATCAGGGAAAATAATTTTGATTTTACCATAGATGATGAGGACAACGAATGGGGAGGAAAGGAGGAAGACTCACATTTGAATATCCCTTTTCACAGAGGATCTGTTCTAGCAGAGCTGAAAAGCAGGTGAACATCCCAATTCCTCCTCCAAAGCACACTGCCAGGATGATGTACGGCTTGTTTCTCAGGAGCTAGAGAAAGAAGTTAATGTATCACTTAAACAGGTCAAGGGGGAAAACAGGCCTGGCTGTGACAATAGACTTGAGGGTCAGTGGCTCTGACCCCTCAGTTGGAAAGGTTGAGAGGGCAACCCCGTGATCATTAGAGGAGTTTGGCTCTCTCCTGTCCATTCAGCCAGAGGACAAATTAAAATGGGAATCATGTAGGGAGGAAGGATCTCTTCAGCGCCCAAATTCTTCCTTCACTTTGCCATGTGCTGTCCTACCTGTTACCACGTCTGCTCAGAAGGCTCAGGTTGTGTGGTCCTCTTGCATGAGACAGGTGTGCCTGTTTGAGCTAGCTGAATAGCAGCCAGCCCATGGCTGAATGGTCAGACAGCATCTCTCACAGCTTTGCTGTGAGCAGCTTCCACTCCCCGAGGAAGGAAGGGATCCTGATCTCCATTAGGGTGCTTTCCATGGCAGGTTTGGTAAAATGGCATTCAGAGACTGCTTTGTCAGCAGATTCCCCAGCATACTCCTGTCTAGCAGGGCTGCATCCCTCACTCCAGCACTGGTTTCTCTGTGTTACAGCACTTACCATTTTGAGCCCCATGAGGAATGGCTGGGAGGTGGAGTTAGTGGCACTGGCCGAAGGAGGCGTTGGAGGAACCTTCTCATGAATCCCCACAGTTGCTAGAGCACAGGCTGTTACTGCTGGGACAGCATAAACACCCAGCTACGCAACACAAAGTAAAGACATGTTACCAGTCCTTCCAGCTCTACTGCCTCCAGGTAAACAAATCAGCTGGACCCAAATCAGCCCAGCTAGCTGATTAAAGCAGTTTTCATTTACCATCAATGGGATGTGCTTTCCTTCAGGAACTAGTGCAGGTGACAGCACATTTGCTAGAAGAATACCCAAAGGATTGGCTGGAAGGAAGTAAAACAGAGAGACACTTTTTTCATGCAAGCAGTCAGAATTATGTGTCCACCTCTACTGTCAGTCAGCACTGCAGCGTGCAGCAGAGCAAGGAGTAAGGACAGAACAAAACATATATAGGGAGAAACCAGGAGGGGAACATCTGCAAAAGTTGACTCTGTGGTCTTATTGTTGCCACATCTGTTCCCTCACCCCCATTAAGTCCGTTCTACAAACCTGTTTCCCTACGACCCCTAACTCCTATGAACTGGGGTTTATCTATAAATTTTCTAATAGTGTGTAGGGTTTAGGAAAGCTGAATCCAACCTGGAATTGAGACTGGTGAGAGATGTGAAGGACAACAACAAAGGATTCCACAAGTACATCTGCAGCAGAAGAACGGTTAGAGAAAATGTGGGCCTGCTGCTGGATGGGACAGGAGACTTGGTGACAAAGAACATGGAAAAGTCCAAGCTATTCAGTGCCTTCTTCACTTCGGTCTTTACTGTAAGACCGGCCTTCAGCCCTGAGACCGGAGGTTGAGTCTGAAGCAAGGAAGATTTACCCTCAGTGGAGGAGGACTAGGTTAGGCAACATTAAGTGGACCAGACACGCACCAGTCCATGGGACTGATGGGGTGCACAAATGAGGGCTGAGGCAGCAGGCTGTTTTCATTGCAAGGTGATTCTTGGTTATCTTTAAAAGGCCATGGCAATTCCAAGAGGCTCCTGAGGACTGCAAGAGAGTGAATGTGACACCTGTCTTCAAGGAGAACAGCAAGGAAAGTCCATGGAACTCCAGGCCTTTCAGTCTCAGTTTGATCCCTGGGAAGGTCATGGAACAACTAATCCTGGACACCACTTCGAGGCACATGAAGGACAACAAGGTGAACAGGAGTAGTCAGCAAAGGAGAAATGGTTAACCAACCTGATAGCTTTGTACGGAGAGATGTCTGGCTGGGTGGATGAGGGGAGAGCAATGGACGTTTTTTATCTCAGCTTTACTAAGGCTGTTGCTACTGTCTCATCCTTGCAGACAAGCTGATGAAGTACTGGCTAGATAAGTGGACAGTGAGATGAACTGAAAGTCAGCTGAACAGCTGGGCCCAGAGGATTATCATCACTGCCATGAAGTCCATCTGGAGGCCATCTGGAGATGATGTGAAACTGAGAGGACTGGCGGACTGAAGAGATGGCTACACTGCCATTCAGAGGAACCTCAATAGGGTGACGAAATGGGCAGAGGGGAACCTGTGAAGTTCAGCAAGAGAAAATATAAGGTTCTGCACTTGGGGAGGAATACCCCAGTCACCAGTACCCACTGGGGCTGACCAGCTGGAGAGCAGCTTTGCAAAGAAGGACCTAGTGTCGGGGGTAGGGGTCCTGGTGAACACAAACTTGACCGTAAGCCAGCAACACGACTTCATGATAAAGGCCACCAGCATCCTGGCCTGCATTAGGCAGAGTGTTGTCAGCGGGAGGTGATCCTTCCCCTATACTCAGCACTAATGAGGCCACATCTGGAGTATTCTGTCCAGTTCTGGGCTCGCCATTGTGAAGGAGACACGGACTTACTGGTCCAGCAAAGGGCCAAAAAGATGATCAAGGGACTGGAGATTCTGTCATGTGAGGAGAGACTGAGAGAGCTGGGACTGATCAGCATGGAGAAGCTGCTGGAAAGCAGTTTTGCCGAGAAGGACATGGGGTCTTGGTGGACTGCAAGTTGACCACGAGCCAGCACTGCACTCTTGCAGAAAGGTGTCCAACAGCATTCTGGGCTGCATTAGGAAAAGCATTGCCAGCAGGTGGAAGGTGGTGATTCTTCCCCTCTACTCAGCCCTGGTGACAAAACATCCCGAGTAACGAATCCAGTGCTGGGCTCCTCAATACACGAAATTATGCAGTTAATGGGGCAAGTCCAGTGAAGGACCAAAGACATGATTAAGGGACCAGAGCATCTGTCACACATAAAGAGGCTGGACTGTTCAGCCTGGGGAAAAGAACCTTGATCACAGGCTGTAAAGAAGAGGGAATCAGACTTTTCTCAATGGTGCCCAGTGGCAGGAAGAGGCAATGGGCAAAAACGGTAACACAGGAAACTCTGTCTGAATATAAACTTTTTTACTGTGACAGTGGTTGAACAGCGAAGCAAGTTGCTCATTTAAGTTGCAACACCTCCATCCTTCGAGACAGTCAAAACCTGACTAGACACAACCCTGGGCAACCTGATCTAGCCAATGCTGCTTGAGGAGGGGTTTGGACGAGATGATCCCAAGAGGTGCCTTCCAACCTTGTCTGTTCTATGGTTCTGCTGAGGCATCATTAATAGTGCTATAGCACACAACAACCGTAGCACTTCTGCTCTGTACTTCAGAAAGTACTAGCTTATGATCCTGGTGAAATGTTATCTGCTTCTAAATGCATGGACACAATTAAACAACAGTTTCCAAGGAGATGGATTAAAGCTTTTCTGTTGGGGCAAAAACTACTGTCACATGTTTCCCTGAACTACTGCAATGCTGAAGCAGTTCCAGGTGTGGGTGAGGGGTGGAAATGTGAGTTTTGGGCTAAATTTGAAAAGACTGAGACTATTTGAGTAATTACAGGGTTTCAGCTGCCTTCTTTCCCTGTAAAGAGAAATGGTATGAGCCTAGACTAAGAATGGAAAGGATATCACTGGAGTTAATCAACTGTACATTATGGTCCAGGGGTCCTGGTGGATTAGCTTACAGTACTCTGCAATGGGGCTGTATGTTTTGTGGACAGTGATTCTGATGCACTACAACTCTGCAGGGTACAAAGAATGACGTGCCAACAGACCACAGTAAATGAAGAATCCCATGGATGAAGCAGAGGCCACTTCAGTGGACTCAGACGAGTCTTTCTTCTCCTGACGTAGGAGAATTTCTCATGTTCTTCACAGGGGATCAGTTCTTGGCCCTCTACTGCTGCTCTGTGAGTAAGTCTCTGCAAGTGATGGGGAGGACTGAGATACAGTAAATACTCAAGAGCACAACTGAGTCGTAGTGATTTCAGCTGCTCAGCAGGATCCTGTGTGCAAGGTCCATTTTTGTCTGCCCACAGGCATGTGGAAGCCTACCCAGAGGCACTAACAGGAGCTGTGGGTATACTGGCAGGAGGCGATAGGGCTAGTTTCTGTGTGTAGCACTGACACCAACAGTACCACAATACTGAGGGCTGCGCTGGCATTAGCACAGGAAATGGGTATTGATAAATCAGATCAAGCAGAGAGAAAAAACTCATGTGAGCAACAGGCAGACATGGAGACATCTGCGAAGAGGCAAAGCGAAATGTGCCTGTAAAGTGACTGGGTTGGAGTCATTCAGTCTTTCTAGACAAAAGAGAGAAGAGGTGACTCCATCCATAACTACCTAACAAACAGGTGCAACAAGACTGAGTAGCTGGTGGACAAGGAGCATAAAGATGAGAAGTAACATGTAGACATCTGCCAGTGAGGTAATTAACCACTGGAGTAAATGACTGGGTCTGGGGATATCCTGATTTTGTACAGCAGACAGTAATGCATGTAACCAGACATTATTAATGGAAGCCCTCTACACAGCAATGCAAGTGCGGCAGCATGTAATAGTCACAGCCCATTCAGTCCTCACGCTATTATCTCAACAAGCCACACACTGAACAGCTTCAGGACTTGGGTTTCCACTGTTCCTTGTGCTTCAGTGTTATTCTTTCCCATAGTTATATCCGTTTGGTCCTGTAAGGACTGAGGACATGATATGACAGAAATGCTCTTTGGCCGCTCTCTGGCTTAAAAAGAGCAAGTTGTCTGCAGACCGGGGTCGTTCAGGGCAGTGAAGGACCAAGTGCCCAGTGGTCCCTGTAGTCTCTGGTAGTACTTGTATCGCACCACACTAACAACAGAGCTTCTTCTCCAGCATAGAGGGTGAAGGTCTGTCTCAGCTCTTGGAAACAAGGTAAGCCATCAGATCCATCCTATTCTAGGGAAGGTAGTGCAAAAAGAATTTATTTGTTCTGATACCACAAATCCATTCTTGCTAAAGCAATCAAAAAAGGAATGAGATCACAGCAAGCGTATCTGGCGCCTTCCCTGCAGTTCCCCAGCTTCCAGGCACTTTGCAAGGCAGATGTGGTTTCTGTGTGGGTAGTCCTGCTGCATCTAGCATCTCCAACATGTTTGTGTGGCCAGCTGAGTATTTTATCTGTGTGTGCATACATACCAATTGGGAACACATGCTCAGACTTGCTAGTGGATGAAGTCGTGGACAAAATTGCTGCAGCAGCCTTACCTCTATCTGAATTACATCTATCTGGTTACAGAATTTGGTACTGACATCACATGTAATTTGGACACCTTCCTAACAAGCTGCAGAATTAAGGCCATTACAGACTTTAGATTTAGTAACACTGAGGGCTGTTCTCAACCTCCATGACATTTAGGCAAAGATGATCACCTCGTCACGGCAGAGAGGAAGAAGGTTGGGAGCTTGGGTGGCTTATTTTGAACTTTGCACCTGGAGGTGGCTAAGGCCCACTTCTTGCTCCCCAGCATGGACATGCTTGCCTGTCTTGTGGGGCCTTGAAGGTACAGGTTTATTGCACATGGGTATAAGACTTTTGGGCAGAGCTGTATTTGCAGGGCCAAATGGCTACAGTACAGAGAGTTTCCTCTGTCTGCTGCCTCTGAAAGGCAAACAGATGCTAGCAAGTTCTGGGAGGCAGCAATATTACTTTTAAGGTATCACTTACACATTGATGCGATCATATTTGCTGTCGCTCTCTGGTGGTCTGGGAACCATAGAGCTGCCAGTTTTGTTGGTGAAAAGATGATAAGTGGCTGTGCCAGTGCACAGAGGCATTGCCCAACAAACAGGTACCAGTAACTCTGGGAACCCAAGCTCAGGAACTTCAGGACACTGAACATCCGGACGATGCTACCTGTCATGTTCAGCCACGAGCTCAGGATCACCTGCAGCAAGCAGAAACAGCCAGGGGTTGTGTGCTGAAGCCTGAAGAGCAGAACTTAACGGAAGAGGGTAACATGAGCAGGGTCTCGCATGCACGACATGAGACACTGAGGTGTTAGTAATCACTGCATGGAAAGTTGCCTGCAGACCACCCTCACCCCTTTGGGTCACTGCAGGACGCTCCTAATGCAACGGTAAGTGAATTAATCACCTGTCTCCTTAGGGATCAAGCTGGCTGTCCTGACCCCACGTGAGAACTAGACCACAATGTAGTTTATACAAGAGAGCAGATACTGTCACGGAATTAATGAGAAATCCAAAGTTCGCTAATTACACTCTGGAAGTTTGCACCATCACCCATACTTTGCTGTGACAATCCAAAGATCACAGTAAAGAGTCATCCAGCATACGTGTCCTGCTAATGCTCTTCTATACCACTAGCATGCTAGTGTTTCAGTCCCACATTCCAGAACGCTCTTGCTTCTGGGAAGACTGTGTGGACATCCCAAGCTGGCTCAGCACAGACCAAGCTCTGAGCTGACAGGGCTCCCTTGCTTGCACCCTGCCTTGCTGCTCCTTAAACTGCCCTGCAAACAAAATAAAAAAAGTGCTAACACTTTTCCATAGCAAACCTTACCCAATTACAGCAAGGTCTTCACAGTCAGCTCACAGAATCTGTCGCTGGCAGTTGGCTAAGACAACAAAAACTGAAACAGGAATAGGCAAGTAGGGATGCAACATTATATTCTGGCTTTTCCCACTGCTGCCCACCTCAGAGGCGATGTGACAGCTATTACTGAACCAGTACAGAGCTTTCAGCATGCTCATCCTCTGCAGCATTTGGCAACACTCCCATTCACAGTATGCATGCTAGTGCTTTGTGCAGCTAAACCCACAGGGATGTCACCACTGCCATGTCTGGGTGAAATGTCCTGAGGGAAACAGAGCAGTTCAACTCACAGCACATCTGAGCCCCACGCTGTCAAGAACCCATGTTGCCACCAGACCGAATGGGATTGAGATGAGGAGGTACACTATTGAGAGCCAGTTGACCATCTCCAGGGAAATGTGGAAGTAGACAGCTGTCTTATCAGCCACAGGAGCAAATGTCAGCCACAACTGCAAAATAGAGAGCAAAAATGAGTAAGCATGAACACTCCACCAGAACAGAAATTCAGCACCCCCAAAATGAGTTGTGAAGGGGCTTGCTATCTTAGTCTCTCCTTGAAACTCGGTTTTTAAGGCTAGTAATAAAATTCAAATGCCCAGTGTCTGCAGTTACTCATGCTAGGACTATTTTACCACTGATATCATCACTATCTTGGCCCAGAGCACCCCATCTGTTTCACTACCTCATCCCCAATCCCTTAGTCCTGCTGCTGCGAGCTGGCTGAAGCAGAAGTCAGTACCTTCTTCTGTCTGCAGGTTAAACATGTTGGCCCCTGATGCACTTGCTTACCTGATGTAAACCACAAGCAATCCTTCTATGTCAGCATAAACAAAACAGAAGCTGCCATCTCCTCTCTGCAACAGAGAGCCTCTGAAACTCAGCTTGGTTGGTAACCTCTGGATGTGGCTTTGTAAGAACAACTTTGCTATGTGGCAGCCAAGGGAGACATTATTCCATGCTGTTCTGTACACACTCGCGGTTAGGAAAGGGCTTACAAATTTGCACTATTCAATGTATCAGAACACATAACAGGAAAACACAAGAAGTACATTAATAACTATCCATCTTTTCCCTTCAGTGCCATATCTGAAAATACTTCCCTAGACTTTTTAGGCACTGGTTTCATAAGATTGCTCTCTGCTTCTGGTTTCTTCTGCGAAAGACAAGGCCTGCTTTGATCCTCAAATCAGGTCCTGAGATCACACCCACAAGAAAGAAATGAGGGTACTACACCAAATTTAAGGATGTTTCTGTGGATTCTTTGTGAAGATGCCCTCTCTGGTGCTTTTCAAAAAAACTGGCCTAACCCAAGAATAAGTTTCAATAATGTGGATGTAAGCTACTCCACTGCCAGAAAATGATCTTGCCACTGCTGAATACTCCAGACGATAAAGTTTGCAGAATATGAACAAAAACTTTAGCTATAGCTTCCTGCAGAAGAACTACAGCCACTGTCTCTTTCCAGGTACCCCTCTCTGCCATCAAAAGCTTCCTCTTCACAGTCTGCATCCTGCAGACAGCATCAGCTGTGGCATTAATGTGCAACTGTAAAAGGGCTTGGGTAACCTCAGAGTAAGGTGCGTCCCTACACTCTGCTACTTGTTATTTCCAGTGTTCCTATTTTCTTACACACTACAGACCATAAAAACTACCGCACTAAATGGAAGCAGCAGGGGAGATGCGTTTTTCTTCTCTCTTAGTGTCACTCTGTGAGAATAGCCACATGCAAATCACTGTTTAGCTAAGCTTTTCTTCTAGCAGGGATGCAATAAGTAAATGGCAGTAACAGAGAAGCTTTATCTGTGTCCTAACAAGGACCCCTAGCATCAGCTTCTTGCTCTTCTCTGAAAGCAGCTGACATGCCAGATCTCCTACATTCAGCACAAAGCTCACATTGAGGTGCTGGGCTCAGACACACCCATGTGGGATCAGTCAGAGGTCTGGCAGAGGGTGGATTTGGTGTTTACTTAGCTTCTGCAATCAGGTGGATGAAGATGCTGGGTGCTGAAGGAAATTGTACTTTTGTCTGACAACAAAGAGGCTATTCCAGGTCACTGGGAGACTTGCAGCAGACTTCTAATAAAATGAGCTTTTTAAAAATTCCTTGAAATCATATGTACTAGTGGAATGATCTTGACTCAGGAAGAAATTTCACCCACCTTTGTTTTACCAGAACTGATCTCTATCAGACTGGGATAAGAATTTAAATGTTTAATGCTCATGTAACTGTTTAAATGCTACAAGCATCATTAGTTTGATTACAGGATGCCAAACTGCTGCTAAAGAAAACCCAGCTGTGTGTTTCCAGCAACAGTACTTCTCAGTTCCTCACTGCCCTCCAAATGGGGGTGGTGGTGATGAAACACTGCACCAGGAAACAATGTAATTAAAGAGATGATATATTTTGTAAGCCAGCTTCAGGTAGATTTTCTCCCCTTCTGTTGCTCCACACAAGACCCTCACTCATCCATGACATCATTAGGAGAATGATGCCACAAGGCAAAGCACAGCATTTTGTGTTCAGTGACTGTATACACCCAGGCAAGCTGGGATCAAGCACTCTGGCATGTTTCCATTATACCTTGTAAAGCCATCCCTTACTGAAAACCAAGCATTTGTGCTGCCCGGTATTTCTCTGCTCAGCAAGATGTCCAGTTGTAGTGTATTTGTGTGAAAGCACAGAAGGTGGGAAGTCACAGCCTGTCCAAGCCTGAGTTTGCTCTTCAAAATAGGAAGTGGGTTTCTTCATGGGTCTGGAGAGTAAAAGTATGTTTCTGGTTCCATTCAGGCAGGGGTTGTTTACCATGTGATGCTCACAGAAATTAAGAACTAGGTAATGGAGCTCAAGGTGCAGCTGTGGTCAACGTAGTTGCCAAACACCCCTGGAACAAAGTGATTGCACTGTGGGGTTTTGCCAACACAGGGAAATTGCCACGTTAAGCAAGTGAGTATGCCACCGTTCGCTTTTGGTTTTCCCAGATACGATGATTTCATCCACAGCAGTTAGCAAGCTCTTCTGCTGGGAGCTAGAGCCCTTATCCCACATGTTGTTTCTGAAATTCTGCAATGCCAAGGCTAGTACCTACGCAGGGACTGCCCTGATACACATACCCTCAGGCAGAACAGGGTGAGGATGGTGCAGTTATTTCCTGGTGAGGTCTAAGCCCTGTAACCTCTAAAGACACACAATAGAGACTGAGAGAGGTTCCTCTCTCCTCCACTCCCCAAGGGCCACTTGTCTTAACTCCTCTTTGGCACACCAAGAACAATATCAAAGCTCCTCACTGTGGATCACTGTGACAGATGCAGAAGAAGAGATAATGTGTGGGGTTATAGGATGCCAGCCCCCAAAAGCAGTTGCTGCTAGGACAAATACAGGAAGGAGAAACAGACAGAAAACTCTGTCCTCACAGGGCTGTCTACACACTTACTCAGTCCCTGCACAAGCCTCACTTTGTGAAAACACGCCCTTGTGGTCTGGTCAAGCTGCACTCAGCTCCATTGCCCGTGCAGCCACACAGACTTAGAGCCTCAGTGCGAGGTGCAGAAGGCATCAAGGGGAGTCTGCGTTACACACTACGCTGCTACGTCCATGTCCACATGCGCTCCTCTGAAGGCAGCTCAATGGATCTCACAGCAGCAGAACCGAGAGTCCAGCCCCTTGTCAATGTCTCTTCCCGACTTGTAATGTTGACAAGCAATTTCCATTCACATACTATGCCCTACATCCCTTCCGAGCCCTGTCAGGGCTACAATTAACCAAAACCTTTTAGCAAACTTTGAAAAAATTCCCAGCTTGGCACCCCACAGATCAGAAATGCCTTCTCTCTGAGGCTCCAAATGTACCCAGCTCGGAGACCCACACCCTGACTTGCTCAACAACTACCTTGTGCAGTCCCCACAGCAGAATACAGCTCGGCTACTTAACGAGTTGGAGTGGATGACGTTGGAGGTCAACAGAAGCCCAGTCTCTGGGCCATGGCATAATTGGGTCAAGTCATTTACACAGAAGCCCACATAGAGCCACTCAAGCACAGGGACTCTTACCTTTTAACACCAAACAACCACAATGGGTTTGTGAGCCCAACCCGATAATACTTGTCAAAATTCACTTCCCAGCATTACCTCACAGATTTTGTATTATTTGTTCTCAGATGACAGCCCCTACTGTTGTATAATCTAATCATTAATATCATTAATATCGTTAATATCATTGGTCATGGTCACTCATGTTGTAGACCATAGTAGTTGATCTTTGGCATTTGGGATGGACTTATGCCTTCCTTCAGATATCCACCTAGCAGGATGTTGAAATAGCCGCTGTAATAACGTACACCATTTCTTCTCCAAATGCAGGAATTGTAAGTCTCGCACTCTTCTCCCCTGAGCTCAAGCCTTAGAAGCATGTTCATCTCACTGCGATTTCTGAGTTCAGACAGCATAAAGCTCCAGTGCCTGCTAGTCTGGGCAGGAAGCTGAATCTCAGCACATGCTTTTCCCTGTAAAAACTTGTGCTGGACACAGTAAACATGGCAACTGATGAAGAGTATAGAAGGTCCCCTGAAGAACTGCGAGCTTGTGCTGGCTTGCACTGGACTACAGCTGCAGCTCCCACTGCTTTCAGCACGCAGCTGGCTGGCTGGGTACCCATGTCACATCACAGGGAGAAAAGGCAAAAAATCTTTTCCACGCAGAGTCTAATTTATCTCCTTAATCACAGGAGAGCCCCCTCCACACCTTCTTTAACAATGGAGTGTGTGGGACCACCAGGGAGAGCAAGTGCACTGAAACTCAAAACATCTGACTGGTACTGATGTTAGAAGGGTACTGGCTCCGCTTTCAGCTCTCCCTTCCTCTGCTTTTTTCTTCTAGCTGACATTTTGTTTTCTCTTCTCCTGCACCTCCCAGAGACTGCCTGCTCCCTTCCCCATTAATTGCAGCCTGCTTGGGCACTCCTGTAACCAAGAACAGATTACAGCTGTTCTCATCCTGCCTCCATTTCTGATCTTCTTTGTTGCTCTTTCTGATACCCCTGTAAACACTTAGCTGATTCCCAGATGTGCATCCAGCCCTCTTCCTCTCAGAATCAGCCCAAACCCTCTAGTTTTCTTCCTGCTCTCATTCCCCTTCTACCTCCTTCTCCAGGTTCAGTTCTTCTACCCTACTGCCTTTACTGTTTACACTCCCACACAGACTCTTCAGGACCTATTTCGCCTGCAGGACCCAGTTCCCATCCACCCATTCCAAGGGAGTCCATCATTAGTCCTCTCTCCCACTTCTGCCGGAAGTTACTGGTGGACCGTGAGCCACAAATTCTGTCTGCAATGGTAGCCAGGTGACGGCTGAAGGAAGGACTCTCTACAGACTCCACACTTTCATAAGCAACAGGGGTGAGCTGCAGCAGGCAGCATATAAATAAACACAGCCCCAGGATTTTTGGAGCTCAAAG